CACACACACACACACACACACACAAGCAGACAGAGGAATTAAAAAACACATCTGGGGCTCTTTATGGTATTTAAACTTTAATAGTGTCTGGAAGTATCATTATAGCACAATAGTTTATAGTGCTTACACTGAAAACATAACTTTAAAACATATAATGAACTTTAGAAAATTTTTCATTAAAAAATGATTACCTCAAGTAATTAGAATTTAAACTTCATAAATATGGAACATGTAATTGTTGACCAATTGCAATGTATGAGCAGTTCCTGTAGAAGTATTGGCATGCTGCTTTTATTCACTGGTATCTGTGCCCTCCTTTGATAGTAGGCATGTTATATCTGTAATCAGACTTGATATTTTTCACTTTAACACATTTTGAACTTTTTCATATAGGGTTTCTCTGCTGGGCTGTTTGCATTCTACCGTGATAAAGATGGAAATCCTCTAACTTCAAGATTTGCAGATGGTCTCCCACCTTTTAATTATAGGTATTTATTATTTTTGTTCTTTTAGTAGTGTGCTAAGACTAGAATCTGAGAATCACAGGATGTTAGGTGCCATAAATAATAGCGTCTTTAGTCTTTACAGCTAACCTAAGACAATTGTAGATCTTAAAACAAGACAGAAGATAAGAGGTCATTTAGCTTCATCTCTTCATTTTATCAATGAAGAAATTGGGATGCAGAATACTTAGGTTACTTGTCCAAAGAGGCAGGACTCTTCTTGCCAGGCAAGGCTCTTCTCTACCACACTGTAACTTGTATTTACAGTATAGTCAGGCTGTGGGAATATGTAGGTTGGTTGTATTTTGGCTTTTTAATCATTATTGCCTGTACATAGCAATATTTACATGTTAGCTGATACATTTTTTTTTCTTTTTTCTTTTTTTTCTTTTTACAAAATGATTTAAAAAATCAAGTGTCACTCAGACAGGCGTAGCCCTGGGAGGAACCCAGGGGCACAAGTTCGAAGTGTCAATGATCAATGTGTCCTGCAATTAGCTGATGTTTTATTTAGCACAGCAGATAGCAGTGATCTAGAAGTTCAGAGCCTAAAATAAGCAATACTAAGAAATACTAAAAAAATTTATCAAGGATTTTATAGAGAATATCAGTCATAGAACTAGAATTATTTGCATGCATTTATATAGAAAATAAATCTCTAAATTAAGAGCATATTTTCATGAAAATACTAAGATAAGAATCTGCAAGGCACAGTTTTGTTATTGGCCAAAAAATATAAGCCACCCAAAGGTCCATCAATAGTAGAGTGGATAAATAAATTGTGATATATTCATATACTTGAAAACTACATAGCACTAAAAATAACACACTATTTATTGCTATATTTAGTAGCGTGGATGAATTTCACGTGCAGTGTTGATCAGAAGAAGTCAGATAGTCCATCTGTATGGAGTTCAAAAACTAGCAACAGTAAAAGATGAGTGGTTTTACTTCAGAGGGCAAGCTGTTAAATGCCATATAGGTTGAATATAGATTGGCGAGGGACACAAGGAAACCTCCCAGGTGTGCTGACACTGTTCCATATCTTTATCAGTGCAGTGGTATATGAGTGCAGGATTAAAAAAAAATCAATCCTTACACTTATGATGTCTTTATATTACATATATTTTACTTCAGTTACAAAATCTTTATTAAAATAGTATATATTAAATAAACATAATGTATTTTTAGAGTACATTTGTAAAGATGTACTTGTGTGTGTTTGGTAATGTAGGAGAAGTCTGGTCTTTCCTAAGAATTGTGGTCTTTTGGAAAACATATAAATGGTGAGATAGGCATCATCTATGTAATGATAAAAGTGAGGAGGAGAGAGAGACCACACACACAAACGGTTGTTAAGCTCATAATTTACAGTGCTTTCTTGCATTGAGGATATTCCTCAAAAACATGAAATCTTTCAGTATAAATGGAGATAATGGAGTAATAAATTCAGTTATTAGAGATGCAAAGAATTGGATTTGCCTCTAACCTCTCTATTTGAAGAACTGTTAATCTCAAAGTATGAATGGTAAAGAAAGTATTGCAGTGATTAATAAGGTAAAAACTTTAATTTCTGGCTGACTTTGTTTACTATCTATGTTTAAACATTGCCTTGCTGTGGGAAAAAGTGAAAGGAATTAAAAATAACATCTCTAAGGCATGGGGAGATGAACAGATAATATGATAAATATAACAAAATGTTAATTGTAGAATCTAGGTTATAAGTATTGAGTATAAGGGTGTTCACTGTACAATTCTTTCAACTTTTTGTGTGTTTGAAATTTTTATAAAATAATGTTGGGAAAACCCTCTTTATATTGTGTTCTATTAATGAGAAGGAGAGATTTATAAGGACAGTGGTAGAGATAATCTAGGAAAAAATCCAGAAAAAAGTAATTTGGGTTATAGGGAAAACTGAAGATATCCACCATAATTTTCTATAATAAATATATTGCTTTTATAATAGTGATTTTATTTATGCAGGGTAGATTTCCCCAAATGGGATTATTGATTTAAAATCTATGTACACTACACATGTTAATAAAAACTGCTGTTACATTTTTTATGAAGGTATGACAGAGCACATTCCCACCAGGAATGTATGAATGCTTTTGTTACCATCTTACTCGTACTGGATATTGTCAGTCTTTTTTTTGGGCCAATTGGATGGATAAAAGATGGTATCTCATTGTTGTATTTCCAGCACAACTAGTGATGTTTTAGCCATTTGCATTTTCTCTTTGTATGCTGCCTTTTCTTTTTTTTTTTTTATTTCAGGGTATTATGAGGGTACAAACATTATGGTTACATTTTATGTCTTTGCCTCACTCAAGTGAGGGTTAGAGGCGTGCCCTTCCCCTCTACAATGTTCCCCGTGTCCTTTAGTTGCGGGTTTACCCCCTGCCCATCCCCCCAATTCCTGGAGGGTATTACTGCCATGTGAGCACGCTAGTGTTCAACAGTTAGTACCAATTTGATGTTGAGTACAAGTGGAACCCATTCTTCCCATCTTGTGATACCTCACTTCGGATAATGGGCTCAAGTTCAATCCAGGAAAATATAAGAGGTGCTAGCTAGATCACTGTCATTTCTTATAATTGAGTAATATTCCATTGTATACATGTACCAAATTTTAATAATCCTTGCTGCCTTTTTCTTTGTCCAGTCTTTTAGGTTAGTTTTTCTTTTCTAATCACTTTGTAGAGTTTTTTTTTTAATATAACTTAGGGATATTAATCCTTTTTCATGTTTGTTGCAAATATTTCTGATTAGTTGTTCGTCTTTTTACTTCATTTATCATATTTTTGCCATATAGAAAAGTTTTTAAATTTTATAACATTTAATTGATCTTTTTTCTTTATTGTTTAAGATGGTTTCTTACCTCCAAAGATTATATTCTCCTAAATTTCTTCTAGTAAATTATAATTTGATTTTTTTACATTCATTGCTTTAATCCATTTGGAATTTTTTTTTTTTTCCCATGCTAATCTTCTTTGTATCGGTCCAATTTTAGTATATGTGCTGCCGAAGCAAGCACTGGAGTTTATTTTTGATTCATATATTTTGGGACTCTCTTGTAAGGTGCATATATATATTTATGATTTTTATATTTTTATGGCAGATGCTCCAAAGGCTTTTATCATTATAAAATGTCCTTCTAGTAACAATTTTTATTTTCAGAAATTTTTACTCTGCCATTTTCGCTGACTTCTTTCTGGAATCTCTTTTTATATATGGCATGAAATAGGGATTTCATTTTTTTCCCCCCAGATACATAACGAGTTTCATAGCATAGATATTTTAAAAATTCTACTTTTCTACTAAATTAATATAAGATTTTTTTTGTTAGATTTCCTTATATGTTTGGATATGTCTCTGGAGTTGCTTTTTTTTTTATATAATAAATGTATCAAAAGGAAGTAATTCATTGTCATCTTAGCCAAGTATTAGCTATGCGAACTTGAGCAAATTACTTCATCTCCCTTGCTCTGTCTCTTTATCTACAAAATAGTAATGATAATCTCATAGGATTGTTGAAAAGATTAAATTAAAAAATGCTTATCAAGTCTTTGCATGGACTTGGTACATAGTAAGCTCTCAAATATTTTAATTTCATATTGATATTCATAAACATTTACACCTGGCTCTGTGGTACGATGGATAGCACATTGGACGTCTAGACAGATGAAGGCACAAAAACGTTTACATTTAAAGTGGTGGTGAAGTGACAAAAGTGACTGTCTTTTTATTCTGTAATTGCAGTCTTGGATTATATCAGTGGAGTGATAAAGTAGTCCAAAAAGTGGAGAGATTATGGGATGTTCGAGATAATAAGGTAGTTCGTCACGCTGTGTATCTCCTAGTAACACCTCGTGTTGTTGTAAGTATTACTGAACTTCTTCATGTCTCATGAGCCATCTGCTCTTTTCCTTCATTATGGTTCTTTCTTTACTAATCATTATTGTGTAAGAACTTGTGATTAAATTTCAGAGACTATAGTAGGAACAGTAATATAAAGGCAGTACAATCCAAGAGAAGTCTGAGGAAATGGAAATTTGGCAATGACTCTTGTGGCCTCCATCCTACCCACTGCTTTAGGCCAGTGACTCCTCTGTTGTGGTACCTCTTAGGATCACTGGTACTGTTTCCATAATTGCTGATCATTTCATTTGGGGTCTGTATTAGTCAAAGTTCTCCGGAGAAACAGAACCAATAGGATGTGCATATACACATACACACATATAGCGTGTGTGTGTGTGTGTGTGTGTGTGTGTGTGTGTGTGTGTGTATGCACAATATATACACAGAGAGAGAGAAAGAGGGAGATATTTCTTTTAAGGAATTGGCTGACATGACTGTGGAAGCTTGGCAAGTCCAAATCTAATGGGATAGGCCAGTAGGCTGGAGACTCAGGGAAGAGTTTTCAGTTTGAATCCAAAGGCAGAATTACTACTTGTTCAGGGGAGGTCAGTCTTTGTTTTGTTTAAGCTTTCAACTGATTACATGAAGCCTACCCACATTATGGAATGTGATCTGCTTTAACTCACAGTTCACTGATTATAAATGTTAATTTCATTTAAAAAAAAAAACCGTCACAGAAACATCCGGAATATCTAGGCCAAATATCTGGACACCCTGGCCCAGTCAAGTTGACACATAAAATTAACTATCACAGGGTCCCTTTCACCCCCTTATTTAATGACAGAAAGCTATTCTTCCTTACCCCTTTCTTGACAACATATAGCTCTCTGCCCTCTGATCTTTTCCATTGTTCTTGCTCTTTTTCCCATCCCTGAAGATCTCTACCTAAAGGACAGACAAAACCCGATGAGCAAAGTTGTATTCTACTGAAGAAATGTTTTTTCCTACAAAGACTACATCCATAATAACAGCAATTTATATCTGCATCAGAATTGTTGAGAGCACAGGGGTAGCTATTCTTATATCAGACAAAATAGACTTTAAGTCAAAAACTGTTAAAAGAGGCAAAGAAGGACATTATATAATGCATAAAGGGTCAGTTCATCAAGAGAATGTAACAATTATAAGTATATATGCATCCAACTTCAGAGCACCTAATATATATCAGGTTATTAAATATGAAATGTCCAATTTCAAATCAAAAGTTGAGTTTATTATATCTCAAACAAGAAGCAGTACAATTAATCAAAGTATGTGCCTGAACTGTCAACTAGGTTTTGCCATCTTAACAGTAACTTGCTTATGCCAGCAGCAAAGAAGCCTGGAGAGCAGATGCCAATGAAATCATAAAAGGCATTTTCCACAGCCTGTTGAGAATTAAATATTTTTCCTTGCAAGAAGTAGTCTGAAGCCTGGAAGACGTGTCAGTCAGTTGGTGCAAGGTTTGATGAATGTAGTGAATGACAGAGAGTTTCCAAGTCCAGCTTCTGTAGTTTGAGCAGCATTGTTTTTTGCAACATGTGGTTTTGCAATAGGATTAGCCTGTCTCTATTGACCAATTTTGGCTTCTTAATCTCAAGCATCCTCATCCTTTCATCCACTTGGTTGCAGTAGACATCCACTGTAATCAGTTGACCGGGTTTCATGAAGCTCTAGTGGATAATATCAGTGCCAGACCACCAAACAGATGCCATTAGGTTTTTTTTGATGCATATTCAGTTTTGCACTGTGTTTCAGCACTTCATCTTTATCCAGCCACTGTGCTGAATGCTTGCAATTGTCAAAAAGAATCCATTTTTCATCACACGTAACAATACAATGTAGAAATAGTTTTTTTTTTAATATCGTGACAGCAAAGAAAGGCGAGCCTTGAGACGTTTTCTCTTCTGGTGCTTGATTAATTCATGAGTTACCCATCTATCCAGCTTCTTTACCTCACTGATTTTGTTTCAAATTGTCCAATATTATTGGAATGAATAGTAATGTCAAATCTTGCTGCTAATTCACGGGTAGGTTGAGATGGATTTGCTTCCACTACAGATTTCAGCTCATCATTATTGACCTTGGTCTCAGGTCACCCACATGGCTCATTTTCAAAATTAAAATCACCAGAATGGAACTTCTCCAACCATTGATGTACTGTGCATTCATTAGCCACATCCTTCCCAAACGCTTCGTTGATATTTCGAACTATCTGTGCTGCATTGGTTCCAAGATGGAACTCATATTCAAAAATAACACGAATTTTTTACTTATCCGTGGTTTCACAAAAATTGCTCTAAAAAAAAATGGAAAGATAATCACAAGCCAAATTGTGCATTTGAAAGAATGAGGATATACCTTCACAATAAACAAACAAACAAGAAGCATCAAGGTGAAATGTCAGAGATATCAACTGTCAAATTAGTACCAAGGAAGTTGGGCATTCCATACTTAATAACCTAATAAAACATATTAAAGGATCTGAAAGAAGAGATAGATTGCAATAGTAATAGTAGGGAACTTTAGTACTACACTTTGAACAATGGACGGATCATTCTGATAGAAAATTAATAAGGAAACATTGGACTTGAACAACACTTTAGACCAAATGGACCTTACAGACATATACAGAATGTTCTGTCCAACATACACAGTCTTCTCAAGTGCACACGGAACATTCTCCAGGATAGATCACATGTTAGGGCACAGAACAAAGCTTAGCGAATTTAAGAAGATTGAAATCATATCAAGTATCATTTCCAACTACAATGGTATGGTATGAAACTAGAAATCAATAACAGGAGGATTTTGGAAAATTTACAAGTAACGTGGAAATTAAACAATATGCTCCTGACCAACCAGTGGGCCAATGAAGAAATTAAAAGGGAAATTATAAAACATCTTGAGACAAACGAAAATGGAACCACAACATACCAAAACTTACTGGATACAGCAAAAGTAGTTTTAAGAGGAAAGTTTGTAGCAGTAAATGCCTACATTATACAAGAAGAAAGATCTCAAACAAACAACTTAACTTTACTCCTCAAGAAACTAGAAAAAGAACAAAGTAAGCCCAAAGTTAGCAGAAGGAAGGAAATAATAAAGAGCAAAAATAAATGAAATAGAGACTAGAAAACAATATAAAATGTCAACGAACCTAAGAATTGGTTTTTTGAAAAGATAAACAAAATTGAGAAACCTTTAGCTAGATAGACTAAGAAAAAAAGACTCAAATAAATAAAATCAGAAATAAAAGAGGAGACATTACAACTAATACCAAAGAAATACAAAGGATCATAAGAGACTGCTATGAACGGTAATATGCCAACAAATTGGATACCTTAGAAGAAATGGATAAATTCCCAGACACATACAGCCTACCAAGACTGGATCATGAAGAAATGGAAAGTCTGAGCAGACCAAGTAGGGAGATTGAATCAGTAATAAAAAGTCTCCCATCAATGAAAAGCCCAGGACCTGATTGTTTTACTGCTGAATTCTACCAAACATCTAAAGACGAACTAATATCAAGCCTTATCAAACTCTTCCATAAAATGGGAGAGGAAGGAATACTTCCAAACTCTTTTTATGAGGCCACCATTACCTTAATACCCAAACCAGACAAGGACATTACAAGAAAAGAAAATTACCGGCCAATATCCTTGATGAACATAATGCAAAAATCTTCAACAAAATACCAGCAAATCAAATTCAAGAACACATTTAAAAGTTCATAATCAAGTGGGATTTATCCCTGTAATGTGAGTGTGGGTTCAACCTATGTAAATTAGTAAATGTGATATATCACTCCAACAGAATGAAGGACAAAAACCATATGATCATCTCAATAAATACGGAAAAAGCATTTGGCAAAATTCAACATCCTTTTATAATAAAAACTCTCATCAAATTAGGTATAAAAGGAAAATATGTCAATATAATAAAATCCATATATGATAAGTCCACAGCAAATATACTTGGTGAAAAATTAAAAGCCTTTAAGATCTGGAAGAAGGTAAGTATGCTACTCTCACTACTTCTATTCAGCATAGCATTGGAAGTCCTTGCCAGAGCAATCAGGCAATAGAAAGAAAAGGCATCTAGATACGAAGGGAAGAAGTGAAATTATTGTTATTTGCAGATAACACGATCTTATATGTAGAAAACCCTAGAGACTCAATGAAAAAACTGTTAGAACTAATAAATGAATATAGTAAAATTGGAGAATACAAAATTGACACACAAAAAGTGGTAGTGTTTCTATACACAACAATGAACCATCCAAAAAAGAAATCAAAAGAACAATCCCATTTATAGTAACTACCAAAAAAAAAAATACTTAGGAATAAATTTAACCAGGGAGTTGAAAGACCTGTTTTATAACAGATGAAAGAAATCGAAGAAGACACTAATAAATGGAAAGGTATCCCATGTTCATGGATTAGAAAAATTAATGTTGTGCAACCCTTAATCAAAATTCGATTGTAATTTTTCTTAGAAATAGAAAAAGCAATCCTAAAATTCATATTGAAACACAAAAACCTGGGTAGCCATAGCAATCATGAACAAAAAGAACAAAGTTTGAGGCATCACACTGCCTGAATTCAAACTATACTACAAAGCTGCAGGATAGTAAAACAGCATGATACTGGCATAAAAATAGGCATGTTAACCAATGGAACAGAATAGAGAGCCCAGAAATGAACCCACACATATACAGTCCATTGATTTTTGACAAAACTGCCAAGAATACACAATGGGAAAAGGATAGTCTCTTAAATAAATTGTGTTGGGAAAACTGGATATTTATTTATATGCAAAAGAATGAAATTAGACTCTTATACTATATACAAAAATCATCTCAAAATATATTAAAGACTTTAATACAAGACCAGAAACTGTAAAACTATTAGAAGAAAAACATGGATGGAAACAATATGACATTGGTCTGGGCAGTGTTTTTTCGGATTTGACTCC